TGCCTTTACTCTTCCTTCAGTTGCACTGACATGCAGGTATCGAAGAAATAAAAATCGAGAAGAGACAGAAAGGACAAAGTCGTGCCTTGTCCATCCTTTTCCTTTGTGTCTTTTCTGTCCATGTTTTCATTTCAAAGGACCGAGGAAACATAAAGAGCACAATCTCTTCCGACATTAAACATTACAATGTGGCGTGAAGTATGTAATTGCAATAAATTAATTTCTGCGTCAAGATAAACTAAGTTGGAAGTAAGTTTAGAGAAGATAAATTATATCATATGCCATTAGTCAGTATCATATATAAAGTTACTCGCTTCTTTTTGCCGTACTGAGTCATCGCTTGCGAACATGACTCTAAACGACAAAGCATAACTTTTATTTGGAAATATTTGTAAAACATAGAGCACGGCCACTAAACACGATGACAGGGTACAAGAAAACACATATTTTCAACTTTCAACACACAAAGTATTGTCGAGTTAGAGCAGGGGTAACCTCGCTTTACTGCAGTGATGTGATTGGCATAAGCCGTTTTGGAGCACCCTCTGGAGCAGCCAAAACAGAGTTGTGGAACAGCAAATCTGGCTTTTGGAGCAGATATCCGTAGAGAAAAATATATATTCATTTCAAGTAGTGGACAGACGAAGGACACATTGCTCGCCGCAATCAACCAATTATTGTTAACATAGACCACCTGGGAGTCTTTCAACATGTAACTGAAATGCCAATGACATGACACATTTTGTAATGCTTCAGTTTGTGGCGATAGCCATTGAAAAAAGAAGATCGCGTGGAATAAAAGTGCCACATCAGCTCGATTTTGGAATTTGTCAGACGTAGCCGCTTTTCGTCTGTCTTTTTCTACATTTGGTGACCCGGACGTGATACAAATATATCGGACCACATGTTTAAATTTATTTGAAAATGACCAGCTTAGTAGTAGATATCACATTATTAGGTTTATTAGTAATACAATAAATGGAAGCAATCTCCGACTGATGAAGCACGTAACTACTGCCTTGTAATGCAAAATTGTCGCGCGAGCGGAGATGGCTGTTCGATGGAAACCATGCCACTCCGCTCCGCCTCAACTAATTCCCAAAATTGTATGCAAAATGTAACTGTCCAACATACGAGAAAAAAAAAAAAAAGTCCAGCGACACGTTCTTGCCAAGGCGGCAAACGAGGTACAAGCTAAACACAGAAAGAAAGAAAGAAAAAAAAAAAAGAAAGAGGAAAAAAAAAAAAAAAAAACCTGAGCGCATCGATGCAAGACATCGCGAGCCAGGATCAAAAAGTTCTTGGATCGGTTTGTGCAACGACTGAACTCGAGACAAATAAGCACGCTGTGCGGGTTCAGCATGCGGACATTGCGTTCTTTGCTTTAGCTCACTTCTCTTCACCAACTTCCTTTCGCGGCTCATTTTTCACGTACCCGGGTACGTCTCGAAAGAAAGCCTACCGAGATTAACCTAGGTAATCAATACTTCGACACTGCAGTCTTTGAGCTTAAGGTATGTTTGTAGTAGCGCATTAAACAAGAACAGGATTGTCCTTACGTTTCAGTTCAGAAAGTGCCATTACTGCAGTGACGTGGGGACGGCAACACCCGATGTCGTGCGACCACAGTGACTGGAAGGCAGGGACCAAATATGGTTGGCCACGGCCGTTGCTTTTAGGAGCGAGTGCTTCAGCCCATGAAATCACTCCCGCCGCGCAAAAACATGGTTTCGTTTCACAGCATGACGGCATGGCTGGTAACCAGCACGCTAGCGTCGTAGCGTCCGCACATGCCCATGTCTATGATTAAATTTTTTTTAAAAGACGCGAGACTAGAGACGGCAGGAAAAACCATGCAAGACCAGATGAACGATTGATGCAGGGTACTGTGTCGGACGGCTGCTTGAACCACCTATATCATGTGTGCTCAATTACGGTACCCGGTTTAGTTTCGGTTTTCAAAGGCGACCAATATTCGTCCTTTGGCGCAGGCTACCGTAGCAGGACGTAGCGGGGTTAGCCCCTTGGCGCAGTTTGGGGCAGCAATCACATCAGTGCTATAGAGAGTGGCTCCAGAGAAAGCCGCGTGAAGGGAACGGTGCGAAAACGAAACTTGCCGAAATAGCGGGAAAGAACGGAAGGAAAGGCGGCATCCCGATTTCTTTCCCACCAGCATGTTCATTCGCCCGCTCCGCCAAGGCTGCCAATTTTCGGTGGCTCTGCTCTGAGGAAAAAGCTGACTTTCTCTCTCCCCGGCGCTTCTTCCACGGCGAGATTTTGTGGCGGGTGGAAGATAACGCGGAACGCAGCGTGCGTCAAATTGACAGGAGCAGGCAGAGACCGAAATCAACGCGTCCTGGGTCATATATACCTTTGGATGCGTACGACGTCGCTCGGATGTGATGCTCTGCAGTGGCTGTTTCGTTAGTCAGGACGGGAAACCGAAGCAAGTGTCCACACGGCCACACCACGTGAGTGGGGACAACGTGGTCAGGACGGGGAACCGAAGCAGGTGCCCACGCGGCCACTCCACATGAGCGCAGCCAACGTAAAGTGAAGCCGTGACAGCCCTCCACGCGCTGCGAGCAGTGCCAGCAAATGCTGGACCAGCGTTACCAGATGGAAAAAAAAATCGAAGTCAGTAGATGGGCCCCATACATATCAGTAGATCACCAAACAACCAGTAGATACTAAAAAGAAAGTAAAAAAAAGACCTTTGTGTATTTCTCATTGGTCTTAATACATAACATAACATCATAAATAATATACTAAGAAACACACGTAGAAATTAGTTGCGTTTTTTGCTTGCAGCATTTTTTTTTTAATTCCAATTTCCAGCGGCCAGGTGTAAAACACATTTTTTTCCAGAAAGCAAAATGATTACCCTTAGTACTTTCCAACGATGTAGGTACATTCCCATGCTGTATTCAACGAGCTTGTATATACTTTTTTTCTTTTTGGAGGGGGCCGGAGGTGTAAAATGGCCGCTATCTGAAGAGTTGCCGCTTCTCATAGTACGTGGACGACACTGATCTCTATGACAATTGTGGACGAAACCAAGCAAAGCCAAAGACGTATCCGTTCCGAAAGTACGCGCGTACGCGCCTGCGTTGGCCATTGAGATCAGTGGCGTTGGCTGCATACGGCTTTGGGTAGATGAATCGAAGGATACGTAGATGCATATGTATAGTTTCGTTCCTAATAATTTCACATGCGTTTGATGGCTAACATGAGAACAGCCCTTCAAAATTGTGCATTGCTGTGCCCTTGAAATGTTTTTTCATTCTGTTGAAAAGAGGTCTCCGACACTCCACTCAACTTTGGCGGGGTGGCGGAGAGCAATATAGAGATCAATGGCGGAGTGTGGCAAAGCCGGCAAAGCAGCTCGACCATGAGCTCGGCGCTCTATGCGGTGCAAGGTGCCGCCATTACTTTCTGGACGTTGCCTGTTTACGCCGTTTACGTATCCTCAATTTTGAGAGCTGTCGAGTAGTAAACTTGTTAGTGAGCGCGTTGGTAATGATATAGGTTTCAGAAAGAGTTATATACGTAAAGACAGGGGACGGGACAACATATCTTTCAACTTTCAACAAACAAATGATTTATTGCCGGACGCTTCTCCTTCGGAGCTCCACTACAGGAGAGGGAAAGTTAAAAGGAGGGAGAAGGGAAAGAGGGGGCAAGACAAGGCCCCGGGAGGAAACTGCGGGAAAGTAAAGCGCAGAGACAGCGGGAAGGAGAGGAAGGAAGGAGGCATCCCAATTTCCCTCTCAGGAGCAGGGACCACTCGCCCGGCCCGTCAAGGACGTCAACTCCGGTCTAAGGAATGTCACCTCCCTCGACAGCCCGCTGTGTTCGCCCCCGCAACGGTCTCCCTGTGTTCTTACACCTCCCCTCATCGCCCTCCCCTCTTTCCCCATCGCCTCCCCAAGTCGAGCTCTGAGCGGCTAGCCGCCCCAGTAAATCTGTAGCTGCAAGTCGAAAGCTGTGTCGTCTGTTTCGTCCTCTTGTGTGTTTCTTTCGTTTTAAGTCAATGGAAATGTTCTTCGGCGCCTCTTTTATGGCGTACGCCTCCACGATCTCGCGCCCGTAGCGGTTCTTGATGGCCCCCAAAACACGCGCGGACGGGAACTCGGGGGCACATGGAGCGCAAACCTTGAGGTGATGGACCATGGGGTGTTGGGAGCAGGGGCGGATTTAGAGGGGGGGTCCGGATGTCCTGACCCCCCTCTTGAATTCTGCATGTGTAAAATTTAGGGCGTGAAACGAGGGAGAGGGGGGGGGGGGTCCTAAACATGTGGTGCGCTGACCAACACCTGACCCCCTCCTCAGGAAATTCCTGCATCCGCCCCTGGTTGGGAGTCCTCGTCGTTTTTTTTTCTATTTCTCTCCTATGTTCGCGCAGGTGGCAGTTGAGGCCGCGCCAAGAGGCACGCGGCCCCTTTCGTTCCCTGCGCGGTCGGACGGGTGTATTCCGTGCCCTTCTCGTGCGGGGCAGAGTACATCGTACAGACGGGCCGCTGCCTCAACGACCGCCTGCGCGAACATGAGAGAGAAATAGAAAAAAACGAGGGGGACTCCCAACACCCCATGGTCCATCACCTCAAGGTTTGCGCTCCATGTGCCCCCGAGTTCCCGTCCGCGCGTGTTCTGGGGGCCAACAAGAACCGCTACGGGCGCGAGATCGTGGAGGCGTACCCCATAAAAGAGGCGCCGAAGAACATTTCCTCGGCCTCGCTGTCGCTGTCGGAGAGAGAGGTGACATTCCTTAGACCGGAGTTGCCGTCCTTGGCGGGCCGGGCGAGTGGTCCCTACTCCTGAGAGGGAAATCGGGATGCCTCCTTCCTCCCCCTCCTTCCCGCTGTCTCTGCGCTTTACTTTCCCCGAGTTTTCTCCCGGGGCCTTGTCTTGTCCGCCCCCTTCCCCTTCCCCCTCCTTTTAACTTTCCCTCTCCTGTAGTGGAACTCCGAAGGAGAAGCGTCCGGCAATAAATCATTTGTTTGTTGAAAATTGAAAGATGGTGTTCTCCCGTCCCCTGTCTTTACGAATAGTAAAGTGTTTTTGTTTAAATTCTTAGTTTTGGCGCGGTTTGTTCCTCAAGTATTTTCCGGAATATATTGTGTGCTTAAGCTACACTAGGTGGCGCAAGCTGCCACATATACACCATTAACCATCGGTTCAGCCATCTATCCACCCACAGCCTTCACCCACTTATCGTTCCTTTGTTCTGTTTGGCGCGTTACTTGCGGTGGTGACGAATGACGGTTGGCGAGTTTACCGAGTTGACGAGCCAAACGAATGTCAGTATTTTCGCGCCTAGCTGCTCGCGTGGCTTTAGCAGCGTTCGACAATGCCGCCCGTGCGGTGTCTGGTCACCGTGCCTCACCTAAAGGCTGCCAGGTCTTTCAAGCTCGAGGATGGATCGGTAAACTCTTTGAAACATGCGGTGGCTACGTGCCCCGTTCTTGGGAACTCCATCAAACTGTCTTCTGTCAGGTTTCAGGCAAGTGCCTCGTTTCTGTTGACATTTTCCCCGTGCTCGAACTGTAGCAGGTCACAGTAAGCTAAGTAAACGAAGGATAGAGAAGACACCGAACTGCGAAGCTGTGAACCACCTAATCCAGAAAAAAATATCGAAGTGATAAGATTTTAACCGCCTAAACCACCGTCATCTTCGAATCTATCTTGGAAAGGGTACATGTTATATGAGGAAATGACGTTTTAGCGCGAAGAGTAAAGTATAGACCGCATGAAAGCGATTTGGCGAGTGACGAGGCAAGCGTCGGTGAACCCGCTTCGCTGTCGCTCGGTCACTCGCGCGACGAGGCAATCCGCATGAAAGCAACGGGAGCAAGCGACATTGTAATCCAAAAGGAAGTGTCTAGAGTTCCGTCCAGGCGGAACGATGGTCGCCACTAAAGTAACGTCCAAGTTGGGTCTCGTATAAAGCAAATGTTGAAGGCTAGTTTCTGAAGGAGTAAAGCTATACGCACTCCGGAGTGCGCTTCGGACGGAAATGGCTACACGCACTCTGCGGAGAGCTCATGCCGCTCGGGTCACCCTTTTCGAATGGCACGTGTATCGCTGGGGAGCCCGCCTGCGTTCCCCCCGCTTCGCGGCGACAGTGTGAGGCTGCTAATTACAAAACGTAACCAGTACACGCCGCTTCGCGGCGTCCAGCCGGCAACCCAAGCCCCGCTGTCCCCGATCGCATCAGGAAAGGGAGTCCCGTACCATTTAGTTTTGCGAAGTTTCGTCGGCAACGAATCTTTTAGTGTTCACCGGGGAAAAAACAAAAAACAAAAAAAAAAAAAAGTAAATATTGCCAAATGCTTCGACAAAACAAAATGTTTGAGAAAACGAAACAAAAAGAAAGTGGGACCACCGCGGATCGAACCCACGTCCACTAGCGTACGAAGCTGACACCTTAACCACTACGCTATGCCACCGCTTAAAAGAATGAGTTGTTGTGACTATTCCTTTTATATGAGACTAGCGGAGTGCGTATAGCTATTTCCGTTTGAAGTGCACTCCGGAGTCCGTAGGCTTTATCCTTTCTGAAGTGGTGGTGTAGTGTAGTGGAAAGGTGTCTGCCTTACACGCAGCGGGCCCGGGTTCGAACCGCAGTGTGGGTTTACTTCTTTTTTTTTCTTCTCGATTTTTTTTTTTGTCGGTATTTACATTTCTCTTTTACAATTATCTCTGAAAGACATGAAGGCATGTTGTCGACGAAACTTCGCTGAACTAAATGGCCGGAGGTGCAATAGGGCATAGCGGGTTTGGGTTGCTGGCTGGGCGGCGTGTACGGAGGGCTAAGTGGGTTAATAGGGAGTTTTCATAGACCGTTTTCGCCGTCCCGCAATGCCCTACGCAGCTTGCTATGATGTCGGAACTCTACAGTCAAGGGCATGGGCGCACAGGCGCAGTAGCGGCTTCTTCGTTGCAGAGGGCTTAGCGGTGAACGAAACATGGTCTACGAAAACTCCCTCTTAGTTTTGTAATTAGCAGCCGCATACTGTCGCCGCGAAGCGGCGTGAATGCAGGGGAGGGGGGGGGGGGGTGTTAACGAGCCCCCCAATGATACACGCGCCGTCGGAAAAGGGTGACCCAAATGGCACGAGCTCTAGCTCCGCGTTCCAGACGGAACTCTAGTAGCAGCTATCGTTCCGTCTGGAACGCTAGCCACACCGTACGTCCAAATCGCCGCCTTCCCTAGGTTCACAGGGGCGAGAGAGGAGGGTGGGGGAGAAGGTTAGGCATATCCATTTCAGTGCTCTGTCTGGACGTAACGCTAGCCACAGCGTTGGACGTAACGCTAGACACCTCTTTTTTTTTTACTTTTTTTTTGTAGGGCATTTGACAATATTTACAGTAAGCTCTCCACGTCGTGCGTATGGCCATTTCCGGTCAACGTGCACGAGCTCGTGCCTATAGCCTTTACTCTTCATTGAATAGGACTGATTTGAGCCAGCACATATGAGAACTGAAAAGAAGCTAAGTGCCTCTGGAGCTGATTTACTAACTATATAAAAATATTTTTGGGTTAGATATATGTGAAGCTAGTCCATGCGCATACATTTTACAGATGCTGGATTTGGTATTTGAAGAATACACTGACCTTGCTGCGGACGACGAAATACATGACATGGCTAAAATCACTCTCCTGCCCATTGTAACTGTCCCAGAGGGTGGGCCAGGCTCATCTTCCACTCAGGTATTTGGTTTTGCAACAAGTTCAAGGTATATCAAGCATTAATGAAAAAAAAAAGAAAGAAACGGTTTATTACTAGGAATATAATCACAACTGTGATAGGCTGTGTCTATACGAGCGTTTTTTTAATTTTTTATTCTTTAAAAATTTTTTAATGGTGATAGCTATGTTAATGCCGCCTTCACTGTATGTTTGTGGAGCTTGGTGCCTGATTATGATTGGTAGAAAAGCGTCCTGTCACTTCTGTACGTCCGTCACTATCCAGCAAGTGTGACGCCGGCGCCTCCAGCAGACACGCTGTCTGTCGAGATAGTGGCGAAGGGCATGAAACACGGGCGTCACTTTTTTTTTTGCATCATAATCAGGTGCACCTTTCAGCGTGTGGTTTTGAGTTAAGCAAAAAAAGGAAAAATTAACAGATGAATATCTCAAAGCCTGTTGCTGTTTCGGGAACCGTGTCAATTGGGTTGGCTTTTATTAATGGCCACCTTTAAAACTACAATAGACCCTTTCCGGAATTCAGTCTGGCCACTTTGATCACTATCATCATCATCTGAAAACGCCATATGTGCTACACTAATGGCGGACTTCTGTTTACTGATGAAGGAAGTTGAAGATGCTCCTGAGCATCTTCATCTTCAGACCCTCAGGGCTAGGGTGACCAGACGTCCCGTTTTGGCCGGGACAGTCCCGTTTTTCAGGCCCATTTCTGCCGTCCCGTCTTTTTATCCCAATATAGAATCATGTCCCGTTTTCGCAGAAGTACATAGTTTCAAAATTGGCACCAAGCGAGTAGAAGCAAACTGCAACTATGCCTATTCGTTGCAAGTATATTTTACAAAACTAACCGTAGGTACTTTACAATATTTACCCAGAGAGTAAAATTTAGGACTGTTCTTGCCCACAAACACTTTTTCTTTCGCGAGGACGGTAGAAATATTTTTTTTTAGTTACTGGATATAGCACGGATGTAGAATCATGTAGGAATAGCACGCATGTAGAATTTAATTACATTTTTTTCTCAAACTTTAGTACCCCCCCCCCCCCCCCCCTTTACCGCTGGGATGTCCCGTTTTCTTACTTGAGGAATATGGTCACCCTACTCAGGGCCTGAGGACATTGCAGAGGGGAGTGTGTTACAAGGAGACATCAAAAGCAAACAAACAACAATCAAAAGCAAACAAACGACAATCTTAAGAATGAAAAAAATACATAATAATGAAATGCTAAAAGTTAACACTGTTAAGGCATCGTTTAGAAGCGATGGAATCGGATATGGATGCCACAGATGCTGGAAGGTGATTCCATAAGACCGTCGTCTGAGGTATAAATAAATTATAAAAAGTTGTAGTGTTACATTGAGGAATGCCCATCTGTGGATGGTCAAGAAATTATGATATGTAAAGAGGTGTCAGTAACTTGTCACATAGCAGAGGATTATAGTAATAAATTTTGTGGAACAGACACACTGTTAAGATTTCCACGTAATGCAAGGTTAGGTAGGTTCAAACTTATTTTCATTGATGTTACACTGGCAGTGCAGTGATAATTAGCAAGGATGAAACAAACAGATCTGTTCTGAATTGCTTCAAAAGCCAATATCAACACGTTAATGCCAGGGTTCCCAATTCAAGAGGCATATTCCAGCTTAGAGCGCACGAGCGTTTTGTAAAGAAGCACCTTGAGAGATAAGGGAACTGATGAGAAGTTCAGTGTGATTGTTCGCCTGCACTCAAGCACGTAGACCAAAGTATAGGGTGGTCCAAGTCACCAGGATCGATATAAAATGGATCATAGAAATCGACACCTGCACGTAGCAATCTAGACTTTTTGTCAGAGGTGTATTTCACATGTCGCTTTCTTTTTGTAAAATTAGAAAGCGTAGCTCTCTTTCTGTAAAAAATAAGGCCAAGAAACTTGCCAGGGTCTACGGCGGACAGTGACGCAGACGACAGGGGTCTAGTAGCAAGGTGTGTTTGGCGTTCGTATAGATTGATGGGCTACCTCCTTACTGCGACGGCTTGCGACCAAGGTTTTATAAAATGAAGATAATCTTTTTCAAATGTACCTTCGGTTAAAAAATAAATGCGGGCAATAAAAGCAGAACTTAAAGTAAAAAAAAATGTGTCTGCATAACGACAGCGCTTTTGCTGCCAACGTGTCGTCTGCTAGCTTTAGCTGGTCGGCTGCACCGTCGGACGCTGCTCCCGATGCCATCTATGAATACGATCGCCAAACACGCCCTGCTACTGGGCTTGGTCGTCTGGGTCGTTGCCTGCCGTTAACCCTGGCAATTTTCTTAGTCCTATTTTTTGTAATTTTACAAAAAAAAAATTGACCCGTGAAATAGATCTTTGACGAAAGGTTTAGATTGCTACGTGCAGGCGCCTGTTTTTATGGTCCATTTTAGATCGATCCTGGTGACTTGGACCACCCTATATATAGAGTATTGTATCGGGCACATAGGGTTTTGTCGAGGGGGGGGACCGCCCATGTCAAAATGGCATAGATGGGGGAGGGGGAGCGGGCAGGGAGAGGAGGTCCCAGCAAAACTGAGGATTTGGGGCTATGTGCTCGTATTGTATATGCAAGTACAGTTGCTGGTGGTGTGAGCTGGAATATGCAAGCGGTGACCGGGCTGCGCAGACCACATAGCCGCAGCAAGTGACTGGCCACAGCCTGGTCGTCACTCATGCTTTCCTGCTTATATCGCTTGCTAATGTATGTATCGAGGTCCTCGTTAGATAAACTTTGTTTCGTGTTAGTACTGGATACCAGAGCAGTTTGAGTGTTGCATTAGAAGGAGGGGGCCAGTCAGGGCCATGTCTTTTTCAAAGTGATATGGCTTGCATGCTCTACTGGACGGTGTTGCACTGTACTCCGCATATTATTCTTAGCATTGAACAGCATCTCTGTTTGACACTATGTGAAATTGCATGCTGTGCATGTTTGCATCTACCGAAGAGCTTAAGCTTCAAATTCGGGCTCAGATTATGAGCCACGAACCAAGAATACGGTGCCGAATTTCTGTATTATTGAAGACGAGCGTATTGGTGAAGGTTCATATCCACACACGAAAGGATAAGAAACGGAAGGTGGACAGGGCCGAAATAGGACCTCTGGAAAGATATCTTGGTTTGTTCTTGTCCACTGCGTTTTTTTATTCTTTCATGTGTGCATATGAAAATTTTGTACATTACGATTTATACTGAATTCCTGAAACGGCGAGCATCTAGCGGCATTTATAAGTAATAAATACACCAAACCTTACTTATAGCATGTAAAGTACAAACCGTTATATCATTAAAACAGCCTGCTGGGGTCCTTAACACAAATCCAGTAACTTTACACTGCAGGGATTTCCTTTCGTTTTAGGAGGAGGCTTCATTGGAGACGGTGCGCACTGAAAACTGTGAAACCGCCCAAAGAGAGAGCTTGCCAGATGAAACTTCTCCAGATGACTCCTCTCCAGATGTACCATTGGTAGGCATCGAGCCCTTTGAGCTGTAAGTGTGTTTTAATGGTTGCGACTATAGAGGCTATGTTGTGATACAAGGCAGCCTCGAAATGCTTCTATTCCGCTGTCACTATAGAACGGCGGACAAAGTGGCATCAATGGAAACGCTCATACCAGCTGCACTAGCGTCTCACCGGGTGCCTACCGTACATGTGCGCTTTGCTTAGGGTGGTGACATCTAGCCATTTTGGTTCGCGTCTTTTTATTTATTGTTTGCTTGGATCACATGTCGGCTAGTAGCTTTACCTGCGCGGTGCCGTTTTGTTTCATCTACTTCTTTGACGCATCTCACGTACATGGACCATTGTGTTCTGCTGCGTTCCCTGGGCAATGGAGGAACCAGGCACGTATCCAGGGGGGCCCATGGGGCCCGGCCCCCTCCCCCCCCCCCCCCAATATCTTCCATTTTGCTGGGGCCTCCTCTCCCTCCTCCCCCTCATACAGCATTTGGCCTCTGCCCCCCCCCCCCCTCCCTCCCTCCCTCCCTCTTCCGAAACAAGACCCTGGCTAAGTTCCTGGGAGGAACACGGGCGCTTCACAAGACTGATACACGCATGTGTCCTCACCACATGCAGTTTATTCAGGGAACACAGAGCTGATAGCTCAGGTGGTAAAGCACTTGGCTCACACACAGTAGGCCCATAGTTCGATCCCTGGCAGCGGCAAAGTGTAACAAATGTTTTAGAGCATTGATCAATATCGACGACGGTTTCTCTACACCATCATTTCAAAGGGGGGTGAAGAGCCCATAACAGCTATCGCTTTAAAATGAGGTTGAGAAAAAGCATGTGAGACGCCTATAACATATTTATTGTATTTCTGTTTTTTTGTTTTTTTTTTATATGCTTCTACATAGCAACATTTTTTTTTCTTTTTTTTTTAATAATCATTTTCTTATAAATTAATTGCACTATTTTTAGGCCTTCGTGTTCAGACGACGATGGGAACACCTTCATTTTCCCCAAGCTTGGAGCTCTCCATGATACGATCATCTCTGGCAAACCTCTGACATCTTCATCATTCCGAAAGATTGTGGAGCTCCTCTTTCGTGCAATGGTGAACATAACAGTGTAAGTAAGGTGGTCTCAAAATTCGGACTTATTCCTAGCTTCATCATTTCCAGTTCCTTTCATGGGTGACTTCTTTGTGGGCACCGGTCAACCTTTGTCTTGCTGTATCTTTCTGTATCCAGCTAAACCTATGTCTTAAATCACAGTATCGAAGCAGGTGAAACTAATTTTTGCAATATATTTGAAGTGGGTTTAATCCCTCTAACCCTCCTTGTATACAAAAAAAAAAAGTAATTCGGAAAAAAAGCTAGGTTGCTTCTTTCTGGTCCTTATCTTGCCAAATTTTGTGCAGTGGTAAACATAGTAGATTGATGGCTTATTTGCGTTGTTTCACAAGTGCATCTTTGTGCTGAATTTTAGGCTTCTTGGTCGAGACCGCTGCGCCAAAAATGAAATTAGTCAGTTCAGGCTAGAGAAATGTTTGGTTAGTTAGGTCACTTCTTGTCATTTGCTAGAAGCAATCCATGCCCTCGCTGTATTTACAGGTGTATGTGTTGCTGGTGTGTAAAATTAATGGAAGTTTTAAGTAACTTGCTCGTTTTCCTTCAATAGGACAACATGTCTCTTTGTCGAAATTCATATTACAAGAATTTGCTAAGCGGAAAATGTGTAGATATTCCTTTTTTTTTTTAAATATCTGAAAATTTGGTGCGACTAGTTATAATCGATTGGGGGTCATTGGCATGTTTAAAACATTGATGCACTGTGTACCATCTGAACAATACCTTGCATCTTCCTCGCGTAGGCTCAGTCTGCATACGGGACCTATTGATTCACAATGTGGGTTATAATATTAGAGATTGTTGAGCCATAAGAATGGGCACGACTTTTCTGCAGGTTCCCATCTCAGCACTTTTACTCCAAGGTCACTCAGCTACTAACTGACAAGTACCCTCAGCTCCAACATGTTATAGGAACTGGATCAGTAAGCACATTTCTTTTGCACGTTTATAATAATAGCTGCGATCAATTCTTAGCATTGGTGCTTCTATACATCTTTCCAAAAAACGCTCCTAGGCCGCCGCCATGTTGCTGATGCTGATGCAGCTGGCCCTCTATCAGCTAGAAATTTTCTGCCACCCTCTTGGACTGTGAACACCCGCTCAGTGCGGTTCTCTACCTGTTTTGGCGGTTTTGCATTAAACGTTTTCTCGCCCCTCTTGAAAGTTCCCACTTAATTTTTTTTATGAGTGCTGCATACCCTTTCTGTGTTATCTTCCATTGTGATATATAAGACTGGTAAGTGCCTGCCATTCAAGCTTTTCTGCTCGACATTCATGGGAAACGAAGGAAGTGATGGACGTCGAACTGCCCTCAACGCGATTTTGCAAACATTCTTCTCCCCCCTCCCAGAGATAATCCGCATAGAATCCTCGGTCATCTCCAAAAATAGTTGTCTGGGTTGGGGTGGGAAACGGGTCAGTCGCGTTTGTTCCTTTACCTTGGTGCTTTAGTGAAAAAGAAAGCTCTCCCCAGCTCAAAGGTGAAAAGAGTATAGCTGGACGCCATAATTTCATTCCTTGGCGCAGGAACGATTCCCTTGGTAGGCTCCCAATAACTGATATCGCAGCAAAAATGCTATGGCTGGACCTAAATTTAAATTTAGATAGTTGTTCAAGCTGTGGTATTTCTTTATTTTACAGGACTCGTGGAGAGTAGCACTGCGGTACAAGTTCAAAAATGAAAGACGTCGCCTTTCAGACGACGTCCGGGTTGCTGAAAACCGTGCAAAATTTGGATCAAAAAGACCAAATGATGGAGGTGCAGCCACACAGCTGAAGCGGCAAAAAAAGATTAAGCTGGTGAGGGGCAATGTTTAAACTTTCCGGGATAAACTTGGAAGATCAAAAATTGCTGATGTGGTTCGGATGCGGATATCGTGTCTGCATAGTGGATGATCAAATTGTTATCTACGCATGGTTTTCTTTCTACTCATCAGTGTCTGCCTTAGAAATCAACGAAACGCTTCCATCAATCAGATAACGCGAATCGGGAAAACTACAATGGTTTATCCCGTCTCCGCGAGTAGGTGGAAGCATGAAATGCTTTCGAGTGGAAAGGATTCGGAAAGATGATGATGGCAGGGAGCTCGATTCATTCCGATTCGATGGTTGGCACTCACTGGAAGCTCACCTGAGATTGGAGCTCACCTGGAAGCTCTCAAGATCCCAGGCGAGCTTCCATTAAGTGTCAATCAGTGATTTGGAACCAGTGGAGCCTCCTGCAATCGTCCTTCTTCTGGGGTCCTTGTCTCACAATGTCCATAAGATCTGAGAACATGCAGCACTCTAATGAGCAGAAAGAGTACTACCCTTGTCGCACTATGGTTTTCGAGATCACTGGCACGTAAAGCTCCTTGCACATCGCCAAAGAGCTTTGCACATGAGCAATCTTCAAGACTTCGTTAACACTACAATTTCTTCCTGTTGTGCGACGGCCATGTTCAGTAGCATACTTGAAAACCTTAATCTTCAAACCGCATGTTAGCTAATGTATGAAACCATCGTGGAAACCCCACGATCGTGCTGTTGGGGCAACCATAAGCTATAGACATTTGCAGAAAAAGCTCTCTGGCCGCCGCCATTTTGCGAACCAAGCGGCCCCTACCAGCCATAAATTTCTGCCACCTGCCTGAGCTGTGGAAACCCGGTCAGCATGACTCCCCAGCTGCATTGTGCATTCAGAGTTCGCCAACTTTTCTTGGAAATTTTTACTTTATTTGCCTGTTTAGGATGCTTACCCTTTGTGTGCTATCATGCACTGTGAGAACCAGGGAATACCAGGGCTCATAGCCTGCTCGGCCTTCGCAGGAAACAAACGAAGAGAGTGAACGTCAAGCAACTCGCGAGTCGTGACGGAGGCAGTTCGACATTCTTGAAGGATTATTTCCGTTGAGATAATCTCCAGAAAGCCTTCCCGACTTGTGTTCCGAGTCTTCGCGAAAAATAGCTGATAGGGTCGGGTCCGGAGTGTTTGCTTTGAAGCTGTGCAAAAAAGCAGCTCTCTTCTACATGTGCCCAAAACACGCCGGATTCCGTCTGATCGTCGTGAAGTTACTATCGTCGACACTGTTTATTGGATATGCTGTGTTATTTGAGACCTTTCTCAAATCCTGTTCGGATAACGCGGCATTGTGGGGTACGTACAATATATGTTGTTCGATTGATGAGACTCGTTGAATTTCATTTTGTGGGCGAGTAAATCTATGCAGTTTGAATATCCTGTGCGGTCAAATATTTTTGACGGTTAAGATCTTTGTAGATTGACAAGGCGGAGTGTATGGTGCCGTAAAAAGACCAACATAAAATAAAACAAACATCCCAGTTGCATTCTTTCTGTCGCTCACGGACTCACCAAAACAGCTTTCGTTGCTTTGTTTTTGTTCTCAAAAATAGTACAGAGCATTCTTAAAAACCCCGAGAAATTCTATTTGCCATAGAATACAAAAGAAAAATAGAACACGGCAATTTAGCCTCCACCAGCGTCCGAAAGTGTGCCCACGCAGGCTGCCACAGCCCACTGACGAGAAACTCCACAGCTCAGCGCAGTCTGGCAACACTGACTTATCCTCTCAAAACCAGGGATGCCTGCTGTAAATCGCTTCGTTCGAGACTGCCGCTTGAAAGGTCTATAGGCAACTTTCAAAAATCCTGCCATGCAACATTGCATGCGTTGCACGCTCGGAACAGTTGGCTGCGAAGCTGAGTGACATGGTTTCAGTCGAACAGGCGTTGTCTCTGCTTGCGCGACGAAACATGTGCAATCGCAAGTATGCTGAAGTTTCTCTCGCGTAAAACATCAACCAAGGCACCTGCAATTTTTTTGCTTAAAACCTGGCATGCTCGAAACCAATAAAATAGTGGCCAGTGTTTTTTTAATTGCTTGGCGACATTTATGGTATTTTACACTTGTGGGATGTCTCAGTTGTGAAAATGAAGTAGCGAGTTCCATTATGACACAATAATCATGGCAAATATCTGAAGCCGGAACTAAATGGCCCGCTAGTACCCGGAATTCATTTCTTGGCATCTCCTCACCAGGGGCCGCCCCGATTCGGAAAAAAGCTTATTGCAAAATGGCGGAAGGTTCATTTCTTCCCACGACCCCGGCTTGGCTTGGCCACCTGGAGATGGAGGTCGTTCCTTCCCATGATCGTCTAGCTGTTTATCGCTCAAAGTGGCGCATAAAAAAATTTGAACGTTCCCACCTCGTGATACAAAGTTGGGGGTGCATTTATTGAGCAAGGTGCAAGGAAATATGTTATATATTTTTATCTGGACGGTTTCCTTTTTTATATTGTGTGTTTTCTACTGTTTGTGCTCCCGTAGGGTAATGCCTTGGGCAATGTTAGGTCAAATGATTGAATTCAATTTTACCTTATCAGAAATTTTGGCATGCTAAGAGCATCAAGCACTAAAAAGGTAGTCAGTTGTTGTCCTTCTGTTAATGAATATTCATGTCTAAATCGCGCCCTTTCGATCATGCCTCTCAAGAACATCAGTGCTTCGGCTTTGGCTGGAGAGGACGAAGCCAGCCTGATCGCCCATGAGGAATGGCTTATACGAGAAGGACGAAAGGCAGCTCCTGATGAAAAAGGAATCCATGAAAGGATGACTCTCACTGCGAGGAAGAGGCTCTCTGACATGGCACAAATGGGCATTGATGCTGTTAGGACAAGGTACCCATACCTGATGGACTCTCAGCGAGTGAGTCATTGCTGCTACTCTTCCGCTTTATTGAATACGAAGGTGTTGTTGACTTTTTTTTTTGTACTCTTGTTTGAATACAGAAACTCTTATTGAAGGGACACTGACAGGGTGTTTATGCTCGCCGATGTTTTTAGTTGTACATGGCTTATGAGAACCCAACTGCCCAGAACAGAATTTGAGGCTCAAAATTCAGTTTCTTTCCGCCCGAGGACCGCCACGAGAACTGGCCGGTTCGAGTTGCGCTCTCTCTCTTTGTGATCACGGGCTGTTTTCTAAGGTTTAGACACAACCACCAAATTTAATCAAAGTCGTGGGTCATTGAAGGCACACAGTCAATATTAAAAATAGCAAAAAGATGAAACCCTTTTTTTGTGACTTCTAAAAAGCTGTTAATAAGATTATTGAGGAAAAAAAAAGTTGCACAGAGAACCGGACGCATTCTGTGCATTTCCTCGTTCAATAGCCCTTTTGCGAAATCCCCCAAGCGCCCTGGCCCGCGCGCGAGGAATTGTGGGAGAGACTGTCCCTGGCCTGGCCACTCTGCCTTGAGATCGCATTGCCTCGTCGCTCGTCTCCTCATAATCTTGTTTTTTGATTTCATTACCTATTTTTATATGTTCAAGTGTATATTTATTGGTTCTAAGTGTTTCTATTTTCTTCTGTGCGCAGTAGTTTTTGCATATATATAGTTTTTGTCTTTATTATGCCTTTTTCGACGGGAGTGCTGACGAACAACAGGCCGCTTCGCGTGTCGTTCTCCGGGTGAGTGTTATCGTTGCTACTGGTTCCTGTCGTGCTGTTAGCTGTTCATTTTGGTTCACTTGACCCGCGTGCAGTCGTGAGGAGCCGTTTATGAACACCCACGCAGATGTCATAGGGGTAGGCAGACTCTAAATCAAGAATTGCGACGCGAGAGCAGAGTGCGCTGTGATTTAGCCGCCCGCGCCTGCTCCGTTGACTCGCAGTGCAGCGTATGCCTTCGGGTGCCGCTTGCTTGACCAAGATACAGCAAGCTGCTTTGTCGCTGCGAACCATTTGTCCGAATGTTTGCAAAGCTGAGGCATATGCAACGCTGTGGCGTTTGACAACTGCGCGCTGCGGTGCGATCCCTTTGCAAATGCCGACGGCTCAATGTCGCGGCTTGAATGTGCCTATGGCATGCCTTCATAATCTTTCTTTTAAGCGGTTGTCATTTGCCAACGCCCTTTTTCAAGTGCAGAGATAAGTTGCCGCGATTCATTTGTCCGAATGCCTGCAAAGCCGTAGCACCGTTTGTCATATCCAACGCTGCGGTGCCTGACAAACTGCGCTCAGCGGCGCGAGCCCTTCGCAAGCGCCGGGCGGCCCAACATCGCGGCTTGTGTGCGCTTATAGTATGCCTTCTTAAACTACTTGCTAAGCGGTTGTCAGTTAAAAGCACCCCTTTTCAAGTGCAGAGGTGTGCTGTCTCCCAGGCAGTCATCTTGAAACTCGTAGTTCCTTCGATAATTTTATTTCTCTAGTCAAGATGTCAGCTCAAGGTATTTTATTTCTTTAGGTCACCTTCAGCAGTAACATGCCCTCATAGTACAGTTTGCTGTGTGCCAGGCTGTACAAACAGTACTGCCGGCGGACGGCATGTTTCCTGGCACTGCTTCCCAAAAGACAGCGTCCTGCGAAGCGTTTGGGTGAAGACAACTGCGTGCAGTTGTGAGGCGCTGCAAAGTTGGACATGCCGAACAGTGTTACGGTTTCGCAGGCATTCAGACAAATGATTCGTGACAGCAAAGCGGCGGGCTGTATCTTACTCAAGTAAGCGGTATTGAAGGCACATGCTACAGTGCCAGTCAACTAAGCGACGCGAGAGCCGAGTGCGATTGAGCCACCTGCACTCGCTTTGTTGACTCGCACCGCACTCGGCTCTCGCGTCGTGATTGTTGATTCAGAGCTCTGCCTACCCCTATGACATGGGTGCGGGTGTTCATAAACGGCTCCTCTCGACTACACCTGGGTCAAATGAACCAAAAATGAACAGCTAACAGCACGATAGGAATCAGTAGCAATGGTAGTACTCACCCGCGGAACGACACGCGAAGCGGCGTGTGCAGAAGAGAATAGAAACATTTATAAGCAATAAAAAATACAGTGGTACAGATAAAAATAGGTAATGGAAATGAAAAACCGGATTAAGAGGAGACAGGCGACAAGGTAATGCGATTTCAAGGCAGAGCAGCCAAGCGAGGGAGCCTGTTGAGTGTTAGCAACATCCTAGCTAATGCAGCGACCAACGACTTAGTTGGAAGCTATGGTTCACAGGCCAGGTTTGGAGATCCTATCAACTCTATGCCATACTGCATGAAAAGGACTCGAGGGTCCGAAAGAAAAGAGTAAGAGATTGCATGTGAAGAAGAAGGTTTGATATTTCATCAGCGTGATGTCTGTAGTACCAATTATTTCTCTGCACTCTTGCAAGACTTGCTTGGCAAGTCAATAGACATATTAAGAACTTCAGAAGCAAAGGGAAGTTAAA